TGTAATAGTTGCCATACGATTGTTAAAACAAAAATAAATCAATAAAGCTAACATTTGCGGATCACTTAAGTTTATCCAAATTGGTTGTAGTGATATTGCTTAAGATCTTAATGCTGTGTTGAATCACATATTTGCTAGTTCAATGTACGTGCCGTTTTTATCGGCAAGCAAATAAAGGCAACAGTAGTATACCGCTGTTCGAAACTCATAAATCGATAGAGATAAAAACAAATCCGGGTTACAAACTAAAACTAAGGGAAACGCATCAAATATAAGAGGAAAACAACGACACAACACAAACACAACTTTAAAATGTAACACACACAGAAACGAACTATAATATAACAATGGCCATTTTCCTGACTTGGTACAGGACATTTACGTGTGTTAAAATAAAGTTACAGTTGGATTGTTCGGCCACTTACAATATAAACATTTAAATCATTGATTCAGAAGTTTTTAATGAAAACTGAATTTTATAACAACATAGCATAATTTATGATATAATAGTCAAAGAAACTACAAACCCTTAGCCGGGAATCTCATTATATATCCTGCAGGATACCCTGTCTTAAATGTGAATCACTCTTGTGTAACGGATTACCCATGCCTTCATGTATTTTCCAGTACCAGGTTACTTATTAGCATGCTTGAAGTATTGGGGTTTTCGACTGAACAGATTAAATTTAATAAATATTCATACAACTTCCCGTACTATGTTCACAGACTTTTACTACCTGACATAGATCATCCAATATACGTTGGTAGTATAGCTGAAGGACTATTGCCAGGTACATTCTATCGAGGAGAAAAGCCGGACCCTGATGCAATCCTAACATTTTCGAGGAATTCAATGTGGTTCAAAACGAAATAAATCTTTCAACTCCCGAAATTAAATCGATAAAAGAAAATCCAGGATATTGCCTCTTAGCCCTCAACGATCCGGACTTTCCTGGGTATGTTTGGCTTTACGCTCCGCATAAAAAACCATTCAATATGAAAAACGTTCTTATCGAACTAAACGACGACATTTTTCCCAACAATGCATTCCGCAAGCTAGCTGTTAGAAGATCAAAGGCTGATGATGAAGATTTAGACCATGATGTATCGAATGCATATGAATTGAATGGACCGTCAGTCACTGAAAAATATTTCAATCCATTTTACAAAGGTTGTACAAAAGGGCCATCACTTATAAGGGACAATATACCTTGCTTGGCTTATCTTCATTGGCCAACGTTAGCTGATCCATGGAAACTTCGATTGAAGTCAAATGGGTGGCTGAATGAAGAAATAGTGAGAATGGTCGTATCCCAACAGTGTTTACTAGCCCCAGTTGGACACTGCGACTGTGACGAAAATGAATTGCAATGGCGGATATCTTTTAGAGGAGAGGGATTGATATTTCAACAGCTAAATATAATTCAATTATATTGCTACATTGTTCTGAAAATGATTTTGAAAGATGATTTAAAGGAATGTCTTCCTGGCAACAATAAAACAATATTATCCTCCTATTGTATAAAAAATCTGATTTTCTGGTGCATAGAAACGGAAAATATCAGCTGGATTCGAGACAATTTTGTTACCTGTCTTCATGTATGTCTTTCAAGATTGCAAACATATTTAAAGAACAGAAACTTACCTCATTATATTATTCCGGCAAGGAATTTATTCACTTCAAAAATGACACCTGGTTTTTTGCTTTACATTACAAAATGCGATTAAAAAGTATATCCAAGACATAACAAATGTAATCAATTTGAGATCATTTGACTTTGTCCGCGGGGTTTTTTCAACAAAATAACCAGTTGAAAATATATAGTGAAGCTTCTATTATTGTTTGTTATTGCACCCAAAAGTTAGATAAATTGTTTTTCCACTATAGTCAAACAAATCTATTTTGGGTAAAATACAACAGAGTAGTTACAGAAAAAAGCATTGAAACATACGAAAATGTTTTAAACGGAATAAGCGCTGCTAGTGATAATGCTGTTTTCAGAGATCTATTTTCTTTGCTCACAAAAAGCATTCTATGTGTATTATCGTATTCGTACTACAGAAAAAATCATGACGATAAGTATTTAAAAAATGGAACATTTTTGAATGTAACACTTTGTTCTAACATTTCATCCTTACAACTAAGGTCTGCTACCATTTTGTTCATGGAAAACAGATCTGATGAATGTATCACTGTATGTGAAATTCTATTGAAAAAACGATTAAATGTCATACCAATGAAGAAAACATTTTATGATATTGTTCAAAAAGTGAGGGATGTTACCAAATTGTGTATGGCAATTGATCAGCTTGAACAACTCAAACACATCCGACAAGAGATGTTAGCTGCTGCATATTCCTTAGAAAATAAGCCTACTACATATATTCCATCTGAAAACTCCAAAGGAGCGGATATAATGAAGATCGTGGATTCTTCCAGACACCACTTTTACGTACGGTACATGACTGCGGAAATGTGGGCCGTTCCCGATGTTATTCAATTTGAACTTCTGTCAGTGCCCACTAAACTGAAGAAACATTTAAGTGATGGTTGTCCGTGTCCAAAATATGATCAAGTTCCTGCAATACAAATGCATCCTCTTCTTATATGTTATTTGCTACTTTTCTTAAGTTTCGACAGAAAAGCAGATTTTTCTATGAGAAATTCAATACTACTAAGACTAAATTATCTCAAAAGAGATGACGTCTCGGTTGACAATGACAATGGCGTTTTATTATATAATATTCTCGCGTATTGCAATGGCAAAGCAGACCATAAGGAAAAAGCAGCAAAATATGTAGTACAATCCTTAAAAATATTTCCGTCGCGCCAGAATGCTGCTTTCGGATATCTGAAAAACATTATTCAACAGTCATTGAAATTTATAACGAATATTTGAATGCGGTGTTCAAAAACGGTTTAAAATAAAACTTATACAAGATACTAGTATCGACCATGTGTATGTTATTATGCTACATTATCGTTATCATCTGGACTATGAAACATCGGTAACTGACAAAAAAAAAAAGGAATATTATTTAAAAATTAACCGTCAGAACTACTTAAAATGGCACTAATTTGTAAAGAGGGTTGGTGTATGCTACATTTCTTATAATAATCTGCTTTTCAAAAATCATGTAACAAAGGTCAGTTAATTTTTCTTGCCACCACATACGCTCAAACCCATCAACTGCCTCTAAATAAAGTCAAGTTCGAACTGATGAAAAATTTAAGTAAAAAGTAATATTTTATGTATGTTCTGAAAAAATAGCATTCATCACACAGGGGAGGATCCAGGACTTCGATGTCTGGGAGGGGGGGAGGGGGGAGGACACCATGAAACCAAAATTAGATATTTGTTGAGAGATTAATGTCTATGCGAGTGTAGGTGGCAATAGTTGTATTGTGTTTGTGTATGTACGTTGTTTTGTTTTTGTTTTTGTTTGTTTTGTTTTTGTTTTTGTTTTTTTTTTTTTGGGGGGGGGGGGGGTAGATCATCGTTTTTTTTTATTTCTATATGTCTTAATTTTTGAACTTAAGTGTTACCATTTCACGTTATTCTTTTATCATTATTATATTCGTCCTAAACATGCATTAGATATTTGCCACTGGACATTAAGCAACGCGCAATCAATTCATCTATTCTTTATATTTCATCATCTTTTAATTCTGTTATCTATAGTTTTTGGTCCCACTCCTAATCTAACCTTGCATGCCCATTATTCTCCTATCTGTAATCCCAATTCATACCCTCATAAATGGTGACCCATTCAAAGCCTCATATGGTAAACGGACAGAAAGTCACAGTACAGAAAGTCACGAATTTGATTGGACAAAAAGTCAAAAATTTTATGGTGCACTTTTTTTGTGGAAAAAAGAGGGGGCAATGAGTCTTTAAAACAAATTCATTGATGCCTTTTTTGAAAATAAGACGAAAAAAATACGACATTCATTTAACAAAATCGTGTATGATATTAAAATAAAACAAGTCACATTATACATTAAAGACAGTTTCGAGAAAAAATTACATTCACAAGAACTGGTAATGTGAGTATTTTGTTATGAAGACATATTCCATATTTCGATACCAACAATCTTGACGCTAAATATCTATGCGTTATTGTGTACCTTTTATTATAAAAAAAAGACACATATTATACAGTGTAGTTCATAATTTCTTTGTGATCAGAAGATTTAACCTGTTACATGTAATCATTCTTGTAATCAATCTTAATTGTAATATTGTATTAAAAACCAATACAATTATTCGTACTATTCCAATCAACATGTACATGTAGTTTTTACATTAAAGCTTTTGCAGAGACATTACACACAACGCACAGATAAGTTGTCATAAATCATGCATGTTGAAGATTGGATTAATTAACGTCGAGTTAAAAGTCAAATCAAGCTGTGATTAAATTTCCGTTCTAGATAAGCACATTCAGTAGCTATAAAATTATGTTAGAAATTTTCTTTTGCGACCTGGACTGGAAGGGGGGGGGGGGCGGGGAGGAGCACCCCCGGTAAATCTGCCACTGACACAGACTGCAAACATTTGATCGTAATCACTTATCCATCAACCAGTACTGCATGTTTACAAAAAGCGGTTATGGAAACGAATCGAAAACAACTGTCATATTTCTGACTTGGTACAGTCAATTCCTTATGTAGACAATCGTGGATTAAACCTTGTTGTATAGCTTGCTTAACTTCTAACTTATATGACAGACGCACAGAAGCCCATTATGTTGACATCAATATGTGAGCATAACAAACAGACAAATGTACAAAATGTCAAAAATTGGGGTACAGCAGTCAACATTGTGTTATGAAATCAGATTCGTCAACAGAGTGAGTATCTTTAGTAATAGTAAAAGTTCAATGATAAGTTAATATTGATATCAAAAGACTTATACACAAATGGAGAATTATTGAAATATCTGTAAATTTATAAATTAAAGTATAAAAATTTGTATGATATTTTGTTACTTTCTCATATACAATTAACAGCTGTTTACGTACAAATATGCATGCTTTAATACAGTCATACTTGGCCATTTTGACGTCCTTTTGATATGTTGAGTATTATAGCAATGTGTATCCCGATTGAAAAATTATATTCGAGAAAAATGAAAGACTTCTCTAGAATCTTTAGATGTTACTTATTTTTTTTTATATATGCAAGATTTCCATCGTCTACAGTATATAATCTCGTGCTATAGTACAATTCTACGGGATAAATAATTAGTCCTCAGTTTTGTCCATTCGGTTATTACCATATTCACTGGTTCTTTATTGTAACTCGTTACAGAACCATCTTTCGTTAACAATTCATTACTAGGATAATAATTTTCCGCAATATTGTTTCTCTCGGGTATGTCATGTGGTGTCCGTTGAGACGTACTTTGAGTTGTTCCCGGACAATTAACGATCATTTGTCATCAAACAAACATATAATTATGCATTCAAGTTGTCAGATACAGAGTTTTATTCGAATTGAAAACGTATTGCGGAATCAGACATTTTTCTTTGCAATAGTTCGTCAAATTGTTTGTTTTGTGCAACCGTGAATAAGTTTTTCCAGTCTCCAATCTCACCTGAAAAATATAAAACAACACAACGCATTGATAAAAAGAATAAATAAAAAAAAATACATGCAACTGCACTATAATACAAAAATAAGGAGATGATGTATGATTCCCAATGAGACAACTATCCACCAAAGTTCAAACAAAGTGGAAGTTAGCAATTATACGTAACCGTGCGGGCTTCAACGTGAGAAAAAACCCATACCGTATAGTTTGATATGAAAAGGCCCCGACACGAGAAATATGAAAGAATAAAAAGAAAAAACTAACGGCCTAATTCATAAAAAAACAATTAACGAAAAAAAAATATGACAGACATGAACTATCGACAACCACTGAATTACATCATTGGCTTTCAAATATTCAGCTTCCATCATTTTTGTCCATCGTTCCTGGTAAAGGTTAATCTGGAAAGCGCTTTATTTTCATTTTGTAAATGTGTGTCATAGATATTTCACAACAGTCTACTTTAAGGTAGTTCTCAGACCTACATGTTAAACAAAAAGTTGAATTAAGTGATGTTTACATGTACCTTTCCTATACAACGTAGACCGGCCTTTAGGATCAATTGCTACCAAATCATCAACTTTATTCTTTTTCATGTATTCAAAACTACATTTACGTTCTATCTCATTATAAAAAGATGCATCTCGTTCCACACAGAGAAATTCACCCAATTTCTTCACGTTTACTGCAAAATTCTGAAAATGAATTGCTTGAAAATTAACAACGTTTTCGCGCTCTATTATCGTTTAATAACAACGGATAATTGCTATCAACAAATGGTATATGGGTAGGCACTTCTTTCAAATGTGCAAGTATATATCAAAAAACAAAAGAAGTATTAAAAACTTTGTGAATGCCTGCAAAAAAAAATGAACTAAATCAGAATTATCTGGTTATTAAACTCCTAAAGGAAAAGTGAGGCGACAGATATCAAAGGGATAATCAAACTCATTAGCCGAACACAAACTGACAATTTTATAGAAAGATAAAAGAAGAATGCGTCTGAGGACACGCATGCCCCAGCTCAAGCTTTGCAATTTCAAATTTATAAAGGCACATAACTCTAGTAGGTAAATCAACCCAAATTCAAAATCTGTATTCATGTTAAAGTTTTATTCCTTGTATATGAGTTTCATAAAATTTGGATGAGAAAAACCTATTTGCGGAAACGAAAATGGGACGAACGGAAAGAGGAACAGCTGCAAGGTCAAGGGTAACACTTAATGAACTCAGTGCCTACGGCGAGGGCATGAAACAAAATCAATCAAAAGACAAACATCAGCATCAAAACACAACACAATAAAAGACTAAACTACACGATCCCACAAAAAACCGGGGGTTATCTCAGGTGCTCCGGAAAGATATGCAGGTCCTGCTCAAAATGATACTTAGGAATCATTTTCAAATAAAAAAAGGGTTTAGTATAACAAAAAAAAAAAAAACCTGGGAGCACGTATTTGACATTCGTCAGTGACTTTGTAGTATCTGTATTTTTTCAATTGTTATAAAGATTTGTATTTCTATTTTTTAAATGTCATAAGGATAGTCATAATAGTCAGTTGAGTTGAGTTCATCATATGTTTTAATAGTGATATAGTTAACTTTTTTTTCTTTGCATTAATTGTTTTAACTGACTTTGATGTTGTCAATATTTGTTTTGAATTACTTAACATACTTTCAGGGGGTTGATATGCGATCGGAAGAAAAGCTACCTTCCATCAATTTATAATTGAATCATATTGCGTCTACGTATTGTTTTATTTTAATGGGATATTGTCACGACAGATTAGTCCTAGTTAAAACAGTTGTATCAAAGGTTCATCGAATGCTTTTAACTTTATGTACAGTTCCCTACACGAAAACATGTTTACTTAAGTCATGTGTCTTTTAATCTTTACCTTCTTCAAATCTTCATAAAATATCGGAAATATGTTTGTCGGATTTTTCTTTAGTTCTGTTGCCCATTCTAATGTGTAATCGAACCAATCTCCATACACTCGAGGAACTGAAATAAATAAAAATATCATATATAATTATTGAATGATATAAAATAATAATATGTTAGGTTATTGAATGAAATTGTTTAACACTTTAACCCTAATTTATAATACATATATCTCCGAATAGTTTAGAAGTATATTTTCAACTTTCACTTTTATTTCTCCAACCTAAGATTTTTCAATTTAAAGATCGGCATTTTGCTTCTGAAACAAGAACTTTTTGGTAAATACTTTTTAGTCACCTCTTCGAACATCTTACGGACGCCATCATAACAGGCATAGTTTGGGTGTCCGTTAGGGAGTATCAGTGTCACAGTTAATAATGTTTTGAAGCAAATCACGTACTATTTTTTTCTCATTTTTTCATTATTACCGAATAAGACTAATCTTGGTTTTATCTAAAACTTGTTATCATAAGCAACACGACAGCTACAACTTGTAGAACAGGAATTTCTTATCCAACTGGAGCATATTAGTTCGTCAATATCTTTTGGCAGGACTGGCTCCGTACAATGCATATATTTTAAACAAGTACATGTATCACTTCAAACGTTGTCTGGACACGCCCCCCTTTTTTTCAAAATCAATGATTCACACCGGGTTTAACTGTTTATAAACTACAAATTTATTAGTTTGCATTTGTTTTTGTATTTTGAAAATAACGACAATAGCGTTTTGTATCCCTCATCATGCAATTCTTAACTTCCGTGTCCTTTGTAAATGTATAATCGTTTATAACTTAGCAAATCGCACAACGATTTTAGTTTATGTATTTCAAAAAATACAAAATGAACAATTCTCAACATAAAGTTTTATAAAAACAATTCCTTTACCTCCTTCTTGCATGTTTCGATTAAAGTAATCAGACCATTTGAGATTTTCCAATCCGGGCATTTTCCCTAATATTGCAAAATAGTACGAAATCTTTAGGATTTCCCAGAACTAAAACTGTTTTATGGGCCTTTTTCAAAAAATGTGGATTTTCTTGTACAATCAATATTTCTAAAAAAGTGTAAATATTTTTATCCAGTTTTTAGATACACAATTTAGTTTTTGGTGTGTGTAACAAGTTCCAGCAAATTCAATATGAAATTTAGCTAGAAAAATTGCTTCCAGTGGGTTTCAAAGGGTCCAAAAAAAAAACAAATTGCTTGTACGAAATTAAAAAACTAGTCTTTTTTACATGCTGGTTTTAATACCAAGCGGAAATCATTAATTTTTTTTGGTTATTATGAATATATAGGTATCACTGCAGGTATGTATACACAAATACAGGGAATTATTAGATTTTATTAGCATTTTTTTTTACTTTTCATTTCGTACTTTAAAAAATGTCAACTACATAACACAAATGAAATAGTGTTGCCAATAAACAACTGATTATATCCCTTGTAACTAAGGAAGTGCTCTCTACTAACTCTTCATCCTCTGATGACGTGCTTAAAGTTACAGGATGACATCATGAATTCATTTCAATGTAGATTAGTTTTGGTGAGTACAAATTACTCCGTAATTTAATTCTATGTCAACTTTGTAACGGCAAAAACATTGATTAATTTTTTGCATAAATATTTTTTTTTACATAAATCATTCAAAGTCTATCATGTCTATAATACTGACTCTAATTCAATAAAAAACATTTATCTGGTAGTATTAGGGGCAAGAAAAACATCCGAAAACCACAAATAGGTCAACTACATAACGGTCAACTACATAACGCATCGAATCGTTATGTAGTTGACAGAAAGCGTTATGTAGTTGACAATGCTGAATTAAATTGACTTGAGGTCACCTTGTCGGGCTAATCATCGAACCTTATACTATGATTTAGCATCCATAATTTGAACTTGTTTATCTATTTGCTTTCTTAAACAGAATAATTGTTTTAAAACTTGTTGTGGTGTTTCCAAATGTACATTTTATCGTATTTTGTATCCGGTAGCCCTGTACCACTAGAATTGGTTGCTTGGTGGCTTTTATATACCGTGATTTTATAATGCCGTGAAATATACCTTTAAATAACTGTAACAGGTAACATTTTATCGTATTTTGTATCCGGTAGCCCTGTACCACTAGAATTGATCAGAATTGGTTGCTTGGTGGCTTTTATATACCGTGATTTTATAATGCTGTGAAATATACCTTTAAATAACTGTAAAAGTTAACACCAATCGTCTGTGTGATTGATGTAGACATCAGTTTGTAAATATAATGATTGTTTATTGATTTTCTGTCAATCAGTAATAAAGTTTATGTATGCGTTATTTCAGAATCCTCGCTACTTGAATTTAGGATAACTGCGTGTTAAATTTTTGCGTGTGTTTTACCAATCAGCGAAAATAATACACAGCGAAAATTTAACATGCCCATTTTGCCATTAAATCGCGAAATAAACCAGACGCGAAAAAACCCCGATATATATACGGTATATATAAAACATGGTTTCACTTTGCTGCAAAAAATCTGTAATTTTTATTTTTTATCATTCCAGCTGTAATACAAACTAGTTACGAAAGGTAAAATGGGTCTTACAGTGAAAGAAAGACAACAACGTTTTAGGGACAAATTAAAAGGAGACCCAGACAGATTAGAGGCCTTCAGGGCAAAGGAAAGAAAGCGGTATCATGACTACAAAGAAATTGGTATGGTTAAATCTATAAACGAGATGTCTGAAAGATCAAAAAGAAGTAAAAGAAGGCGATGGAGGTTATCAAAGAATAAAGAAAGACAACGAAAAAAATACCTTGAAAACGACTTAACTCCACCAGCATCACCAGCTCATATAGAAATGGTAATTCCACAACCACCCACATGTTCCCGTCAAAAAATCCAAAGTAAGAAAAAAAGAAACAGAGATCAAGCAAAATGCTATAGAGATAAAGCTATATTAGAGAAAAAGTTGGAAATCACAAAAAGGAAAGCTGAATTGTACAGATTACGTGTACATAGAATGGAAACAGAGAGAAGAAATGTAGATTCTCCAAGATCAAAGACAAAAAAACTGCTCAGAAACTTTTCAAATTATGATGCCAAACACTGTAAAGTGAGAAAAGCTTTAAACTTTCACCATGCACTCCTCAAGCAGCTAAGCGAGAAGTACAAATTAAATTCAGCTAAAAGACACCTATCTGAAGCAATTGTGGGAAGAGTTATAAGAAAATACAAATTTGTTTCTGAAGCTAGACGTACAATTGGAGTACGAGGTGGAAAAGATAGAAGACAAAAGAAAGGTTCAAAGACTGTGAACATGAAGAAAGCAGTCAAAGAGTTTTTTGAGCGTGACGACAATTCACGAATGTCGACAGGAATGAGACAAACAGTTACTAAAAACAAAGAGAAACGCCAAAAAAGATTCATGCTTGATACCCTTCAACATTTGTACAGGAAATTCAAAGCAGAGAGATATGAAACATGTAAAAGTATCAGTTTTACTACATTCTGGAGACTGAAAACATTCTGGGTTAAATGTCCTACAGAAAAGGAACGAGAAACATGTTTATGTAAAACATGTGAGAACTTATCATATATGGCTAAAGAGCTTTACGGAAATGATGTGATATCAACAAAAGATATTTCTGTTCTAGTGGAACAGGTTGCATGTTCAACGGACAGTATGAATTGTATGTTTGGAAACTGTAAGATGTGCAAGGAAAAACAGATTGATCTCAAAGAGTTTGACCAAAACAAACTAGTAACTTGGACTCAATGGGTTACAGAAAAAGAAAAAAGAGAGATAAAAGGAGACATCAAAGATGTAACAATAACTAAAAGAAAAGAAGAAGAGATAACCGCAGGCGACTTACTTGACAAAGTCCATGATGAACTTTGGCTCAAGTATAGGAGACATTCGTTTATGATTGATAACCAAATGAACCATTACAAAAATGTTAAAGGGACATTGAAACCATCAGAATGTTTTTTGCACATTGATTTCGCTGAAAACTACATCGCAAAATTGGCAAGAGAAATTCAAAGTAAACACTTTGGTGCATCTCAGGTACAAATTTCTCTTCATACTGGGTATTTCGTTACAGGAACAATGACTTCTTTAAAGTCATTCTGTGGCGTGTCAGATTCATTACAACATGATCCTATCTCAGTTTGGGCATACTTGAAACCAATATTGATGCAAATTAGATCTGAATATCCAGAGGTAGATACACTGCATTTTTACAGTGACGGGCCATCCTCCCAGTACAAGCAGAAGATGAACTTTTATTTATTTAGCACAGAAGTATTTGACCATGGCTTCAAGCAAGCATCATGGAATTTTCATGCTTCAGGCCATGGCAAAGGAATTCCAGATGGAATAGGTGCATCCGTCAAAAGGTCGGCAGATCTAAAAGTGAAACATGGAGTAGATATTGTAAATGCAACTGATCTCTGTAAACAGATTTGGGAAGCTAACAGTTCTGTTAATGTTTATCTCATCAAAGAGAAGGACATTTTAGACATTGAGTCAAAAGTGAGGTCCTGCAACCTGAAAACAATACCAGGAACCATGAAGATACACCAGCTATTTACAGAGAAGATGGGTAGTGTCAGGTATCGATCTGTAAGTTGTGAATGTTATGAAAAAGTTTGTGATGGCCATGACCAGCAACCATTCACCTTTTCCCCGATTTGTACTGAAAAAACATTCGTTAAACGAACAAAGCAGATTGAAACGTCTGAAAATGAAACGAAACCCAAGGATGAACCTAAGAAAACAAGAATCGAAAATGATACTGTTGATGAGGACAGGACTGAAGGGAGAAGAAGAGAAGGCAAATACAGGAGGTTTCTGAAATTATTGCAAGCATGTGAAACATTTGATGAACTGCAACTGAAGTGTGTTGAAATTCATGAGCAAATAGAAGAGGTGAGTGGGTCTGCAAGAAACAATGAACATTATTCTACAGATATTTTGTCCGTTGCACTTCTCCCAACAGATTACGAAACAAAGGGGGATGTACCCGTGACAGTGAGAGCAGATGGTGATTGTTTGCCAGCCTCTGGCAGTATGTTTGTATTTGGTAATGACAAACACCCATCAGAAATTAGAACCCGAATTATCATAGAACAGGTGATGAATGCAGAGTTCTATCTAAATGAAGATAATCTTTTGAAAGGCTATGATAGAAGCAATTTCAAAACAGGCACATTGATAAAAGGATACACCATGTATTCAGACGAATACATGCATGGCAATCACATCACAGACACAGTGATAAAGGAAATCTATTCTAAAGAAGTTCTAAAAATAACAAAAGAAAGAACATATTTGGGCATATGGCAGATCCATAGTCTTTCTTCAGTCATTGGGATGATGATTGATTCTATCTATCCTGAGAAAGGCAATCCGTCAGTCAGAAAACATCTTTGTAGACATATATAGCCACGAGAGGTACGTTCATCAATGCCAGCCCAAATTATGTGGACCACAACTAGGCTTGATATGAATAACAATAACTGGGTGCCCAATCATTTCGTACCAGTCTTGCCAAAGAAATCGTCTGATCCTATCACATTTGAAAATGTTAGAATAAAAAATGCGTACAAAGAGCTGTTGATTTCGAGATCTCAAAAGCAACAAAACAAAGATAGCAGCAGGATTGAAGACAATACAGTAACCATTGATGCCTGTATTGGAAGTCATGTGCTTGTATTGTATTATGGTCAAGCATATCCTGGTCTGGTTGAAAATGTTGACATGGAGTCTCAGATGGTTTTCGTAGAATGCATGCACACAGTTGGGAAAAAAAATAACAACTGTTTTTCGTGGCCACGAAAGATGCGTGATAGAAACTGGTATGATATTGATGACATTCTCAGAACAATTCCACCTCCCGAGGCTGTGAAAGGGAATGATTCACATTTCAAGGTTAATGATTCAGACTGGAGAGAAGTCATGGTACAGCTGGGTATAAAGGACTTTGTTTAATTACTCGATCCTCTGAAGATACTTTTTTATTAACTTTTGTTGTTGTTTGAATATATGTTGTTATCAGTCGTCAGTTCCATTGTCAGAAGTTTCAAGTTTACTTTACTCGTGATAATATTGTCCTAAATATGCTATATGTGTTTGCTATCTGATTCTTTTCAATGAAGGTCATTTTTTTTCTTGTTAATCTGAGATTCGATTCGAGATGGAGTTCAAGGTTCATTGTTAATTTTTTATTTTCTAGTCAATTAACAGCAAGAAATGCTTTTTTGTCAACCACATAACGATGATGTCAACTACATAACACATATTTCAACTACATAACACTTGTCAAATGTTGGTGTTTGTGCCTTATAATACTTGATTTAATCTATTGTTGATAGTTGTCAATATTACAATTGTCATATATTTCAATTTTATGGTAATTCAATTATAAAAATATTATTTTGGTGCAATCTATACTGAGTTTTATAGTTGATTTACACAAGTATTCTGACCCTTCCATTAAAAATCTGCATAATGTCAAAAATATGTTTCTAAAAAGTGTTATTTTAACTGTTTTGAAAAAAGTGTGATGGTTTTTATGGAAATATATATCAAGCAAAATGTAATTATTATTAAAAAAAATTTAGGGACCGAAACTAAATCCGTTATGCAGTTGACATTTGTCCCATACTTGTTTCTATTTTATTTTTTTAAATATGTTTGTAGTAGCATTTAAGATTGCATATTTTTATTTCAGTTTGTATTGTTGTTAAACTATTCAATTTCATTTATTAAAGTTGAAAATTTAATATTTTTTTGTATAGTTATTTCACAACTGAAATATCCACATTTTTTGAAAATGACCCTTATAAGACTTTTATAAATGCTTTGCGGGCAGAAATTTCAGAGGAAGATCTGAATGAACAATTCGTGGATCTGGTCTATCTTCGAACGCCTTAAGTTGTGTGTATTCAAGATTGCAACCCAATACTGTTTCTTTTGTTACATCGCAACTTCCGGAAAGCAGCATGGAGATGATTTCTAACAACCAATGGGAACCTGTGTAAATAAGACAAAGATTAAAAATCATCATTTGTTATATAACTGTAAAGTCAACACTATAACACAAACACATATTTAATTATAGAAGAAAAAAGGAAAGAAAAACATACTGCACATCCATTATATTTGAACCCTTTTTTTCTAGTAAGAGATACAATTATTCACCACAATCAACATTTTACAAATTTAAAGAAAGTACACAAAAGAAATTAAACTTTTCAATTCGCACATGTAGCTCATTTATTAACCAGATATTTCTTCAAACGTTGCTTAGGCTAAAGCCTGTGCTAAATGGCTACCTAATACTACATACTATAAGAGCCTAGTTGGCAATTGTGGTTAGAATATATCAAACTAAGGTATAACTGTCAGATTCTGGCCCTGTCCGTGTTGTTGTTAACATGTCATTTTGATTTTATGAAGTGTCTTATATTCTAACAACCAATAAGAACCTGTGTAAATAAGACAAAGATTAAAAATCTTCATTTGTTATATAACTGTTGATAAATATTCCGTATCAACTTCACAAATAATACATGATGGTCTTGATGTATAGATTCTGCGTACTGACGTTGTTTATAATCTTAATAACGTGTTATATTGTTCTTTTATTTGTCTTTGTTCTATTATTAATATTACTTTTACTGTTTGGTCTGTTTTCCGTGATATCCATTTGACGTGGCTCGGTACTTATAGATCCCGTCAATGTGTTGTTTGTATTATCTTTGATTTTTGCTGGTGTGTTATGTACGTGTGACTTTTTGTGTTTCTTTGGTACATATGACGTGGCTCTGTACCTTTTAAGATCCTGCCATTATGTTATTGTTCTATTATAATTTTGAAAATACTTTGAACGACAAAATTATTTTACTCGCGTAGTGGTATTAACCATATGTGGATTCTTTAAAATTCTAAAGAACTTCTGCAGAATTTTAAATATCGGTCTTTTTCTGAAATTAGTTCTAACAAAACCTTTGATTTTTCAACCCTGTTTACCACCATTCCCCATGTGAAATTATGATTTTGAAAATACTTTGAACGACAAAATTATTTTATATTTCTTCCTGTGTGACGTTTACATTCTGACGTCAAACACGCGACTCTACACTAGAGTTGATGTGAATGCAGTCACAGGACTTCAAATATTTCAATCCTTTAAAATACATATATAAGTAAGCAATGAATGTGGTTGTTAAATTTGATAGATGCTTTTTGTGCTTCTTTGTTAAATGTTGTTTGTTTTTGTTCTAATTGAGATTGTGACACAGTGATGACTGCTGTACCCCTATTTTGACAATTTTACCTATTATGTCTGTTTTGTTCACGCATCGTTGTAAATATAATGGAATTTGATGCGACTGTCATACAAGTGAGAGGTTTAGCGCTATAAAACCAGGTTCAATCCACCATTTTCTACATTTGAAAATGCCTGTACCAAGTAAGGAATATGACAGTTGTTGTCAATTCGTTTGATGTGTTTTATCATTTGATTTTGCCATTTGATTAGGGACTTTCCGTTTTGAATTTTCCTCGGAGTTCAGTATTTTTGTGATTTTACTTTTTTTTTATGTGTGAAATGGAATTTTGTGCCTACAGCAACACATGTTTATGACAATCTGTATTAATAAAGATGAAACACAAAAATAAACCAACCTTCTAATCTTCAAAATCAAATTCGAAAAGCATAAAGGTGTATTGCACAGCTGAATATCTTTCACACAGTAAGTGATAAGTACGAATAAGTTACCTTATTTCACAGAAGAACAAAGCAGAATGTCTGATTTTCGTGAATCAAAATTCCTTATATCTAACATCTTCTTTTCAACATCGTTCGCGAATTCTGGGTAATCCGGAAGCAAAATACCCTGATAATACGGTATCTTTGATCTGTAAACAAAATTTAAATAAACAGCTGCGCCATGAGCGCATGATACGCCCGTCACTTTTTCAAAGAATAAAGTCCAATAACTTCTCAATGTGATATCAGAAATTCATGAAAAACTAAAGGGAGGTTATCTTTACAGATATAAACCAGTCAAAGTTTTATGATAACTGCTCAAAGCATTGCCCGAAATCAGGAAAATCTCCCCCTTTTTATGAATAAAATCACATAAATCCGAAATGTAAAATCTAAAATTTATAAAAGTTAAAAGGGAGCTTACGTCAATATACATCAACAATTCACAAAAGTCTAATTAAAACTACTGAAAGCATTTTTGAGTTATTGTCCGAAAACTTGAAAATCCATATTTTCTAATGAATAAAACCTCGTAACTCAGAAGCGTAAAATCTAAATTTATAAAAATCGATAGGGAGCTCATGTCAATATATATAAACAATTCACCAAAGTTTTTAGCAAATTGGTGAAAGTATTTTTGAGTTATGGTCCGAAAACTTGAAAATCTCCCTTTTTTTTAATGAAATAAAACCCAAAACTCGGAAACTTAAAATCCAAAATTTATAAAAACGAAAGGGAACTCACATCAATAGATATAAACAGTTCACCAAAGTTTGATGCGAATTGGTTCAAGCGTTTTTGAATTATTGTCCGACATGTTGACAACGGACGGACGGACAGACGGACAACGGTATACCATAATACGTCCCGTAAACGGGCGTATAAAAAAGACTCAAAAAACTTTCACACCATTCACTAAAAAAAAAACCAAACAACGTCATCACTAGCCAGATGGCGTCGGACTTATATACATTAGTGTTGAGAAGCACGGCTGCCGACTTGGCAGATTTTCTCGCTGAGTTGAAGACACATTGGTGGTCTTGTGCTGTTTTCTGCTCTTTGGTCAGGTAGCTGTCTCTTTGAAAGATTCCCCGTGTCCATGCTCTATTCTTAATATATTTGATTGATATATAATTACTACTGGAGAAACTAGAATTAGACACAAGTTGTTTGATGGCAAAATTTCTGTTCCTATCAAATTTACACACATTTTCGAGTGACAGTAAAAATTTAACCGGCCTTCATCCAGGACGCCTCTATTACAAGACCTACCGATTGTATTTATTGTGAATTTGCTCTCGTAACGAACACGAATGAAATATTTTCTACTGTACATTAAGCAGTCAACAATCAATCTTGTGACACAATAAGCATATACACATGCATGTACATACATTCAAAAAATTAGGTCAGTCGTAAACAGTACTGCTTTCTTTAGTTTAACAGTATTTTCCACTGCGAATCAATTGCTATCCATTATTTGAGACAGGCTAAACATCTTTCATCAGTCTATTTAGCTCATCAAATTACATAAATATTTAGATGAAATAGCTTTAATTCTTTTCCAGAAACATTTTATACAACGCGTTGAAAATACTATGAAGAAATGAAAGTTTTGTATTTGATAAAAAATCAGCACGTATAATTATTTCCAAAACTCAACTTGAACGAGTTTTTATTGCTGTTATTTTTTGAAGTTCGATCAATCAAGTTGATTTTCAGTCGAATAATGACTTTTTAATACGTTTTATGTGTTAACGAAGTTTCACAGATAACAATGAAGCGGAAGCCCCCCCCCCCCCACAAAAAAAAATTAAAAAAAAACAAAAGATAAATATTAATTGGTATCTTATAATCATTGTGTACAATTAATAACCCCTGAAGATGCTTTGCATAGTGGAATAATCTATATTTAGATAGTACCTTATAACCCTAGCACATACGATCAATATTCATTCATGATACGTAAACATACAGTTAATTTTTATTTATTAATATTCAATTGTATAAAGTTATGCCCTGTCACATTTGTGTATGTACACTTATGGTATGAAGTTAGTGCAACTTATGACACAAATACATATTTAAACATTGCCACACTGCATAATTTCCTCATTCAAAATAATTTCAATTTAAAATAGGATAGAATTGTGTTTTATAACATTCTAATGTTCTACATGTATTTGCAAATGTAAACAGTGATTGAATAAAAAGTTCATGAGTCTGCTTGTTGATTATTTACAAAAAGCTAACAAGAGATCTAAGCTACTTCTTTTATACTTACACTGTTGAGATCAATTTATCCATGATTACCTTGAGCTATAGGTAATATGATACGCTAAATATATATAACCCTTGTAAAACTACGGAAGCCTGTTAGGGCTATAGTGAAAAATAAAGACATCGTATGGCAGATGATTTTGTCGTTTTAACTGCATTTTATGTTAAAATATAGACAACTTTTATTCGATTGAATAAATAGATAAAATATTTATTGATAAGTGATAAACTAATAAATCAATCGAATAATTTATTTATTGATTATACTAATATTGATTTAGAGAACAACATTTAGTCATTCATATAAGAAAATAGATACAAAGTTTTGATTTTTCTACCCTATATACCACATTGCCTCACATTCTCATTAAGGAATTCACACACCTAATTAAATGGGCATTTAGAAAGTCAGAATGTGAATATATATGTTCAAACTCTTTTAGGGCATTTTTTAGTAGCAATAAACAAAAAAACTATGTCAATTGGACATGCTTTGATACTATGTATGCCCTTGAATTTTTACTAGATAACATTTTTGTTCGCTTTGGAGATTCCGTATATCGTCAGGTTATCGGAATTCCAATGGGGACTTACTGTGCACCACTTATTGCGGACCTTTTTTTGTATTGCTATGAGTTACAATTTATGACAAAAATCAGCAAAGACCCATCGAAACAACATCTGATACACAAATTTAATAATACTTTTAGATATTTGGATGATATTTTGGCTCTCAATAATGACGACTTCAGTATGTATACTAAAGAAATTTATCCTGTTGAACTTTCTTTAAATAAAGCTAATACTAACAATGACCACTGCCCTTTCCTCGATCTTGATATCTATATCATTAACGGAAAGCTTAATACTAAAATATATGATAAAAGAGATGATTTTTCATTTCCTATCGTTAATTATCCATTTTTAGATGGTGACGTTTCCTTGTCACCATCCTACGGTGTTTATATATCTCAACTTGTACGATTCGCTCGTGTATGTAACAATGTTTTAGATTTTAACGAGAGAAATTTATGTATTAAAGAAAAATTATTACACCAGGGTTTTCGATATCACAAACTAGTCAAAAAATTTACTAAATTTTATCATCGGTATAAGGACATCATTCGTAAATATAGCTCAACATGCAGACTTCTTACACGTTCAGTTATTTCACATCCAATTTTTTATGGAAATATTCTTTATAAAGCACAAAAATGTCAGTATTCACCTCTGAAGCTAACAAAACCTTTAAATAGACTTATTAAGAAGGGATATAGTTACGATACTGTTGTCAGGTCATTAAAGATTGCATATTTTGGCGTTAATATTGATTCACTTATAGGGTCTTTGCATCGGCACTAAACACATTTATTTAAAAACCAGTCGTTGGCATGACACGGGTTATGTTCTTCTCATATATGTTATGATGGTATGATACTAAACCCCTAACGGGAAGGATTGTGCCTGATATTCATATGATGAAGACATAATCTTTCAATCAGTTTAATTGAAGTCTGGAGCTGGCATGTCAGTTAACTGCTAGTAGTTTGTTGTTATTTATGTATTATTGTCATTTTGTTTATTTTCTTTGGTTACATCTTCTGACATCAGACTCGGACTTCTCTTGAACTGAATTTTAATGTGCGTACTGTTATGCGTTTACTTTTTAACATTGGCTAGAGGTATAGGGGGAGGGTTGAGATCTCATAAACATGTTTAACCCCGCCGCATTTTTGCGCCTGTCCCAAGTCAGGAGCCTCTAGCCTTTGTTAGTCTTGTATTATTTTTAATTTTAGTTTCTTGTGTACAATTTGGAGTTTAGTATGGCGTTCATTATCACTAGTACACATGTATATATATTTGTTTAGGGGCCAGCTGAAGGACGCCTCCGGGTGCGGGAATTTCTCGCTACATTAAAGACCTGTTGGTGTCATTCTGCTGTTGTCTGTTCTATGGTCGGGTTGTTGTCTCTTTGACACATTCCCCATTTCCATTCTCAATTTTACAATAATTATATAGTAACCATAATGTATGACATCTTATGTTAAACTTCTAGCTATACCTGTCGTTTATACGACATATGATTTAAACATCACAACATAGGATGTTGCTACGATAAATTCTAAAGCATAAACCTTCATAGGTCCATATACGCGAGTCCAAACCTAACTTGCTTTCTACAGGAGCCAGCTAGGCCCCAAATTTTATAAGGGCCCCGCCGAATGGCGGACGCCCTATAGTGATCTGTCCGTCCGTCTGTCCCAAATTGTGTCCGCTCTATATCAAGAGAACCGTTATGATTTCAAAGTTTATACTTGACATGTATATAAATCAACACCAGAGGGTGTGTTATAATTCATGTAAAGCTTCCTAGGTCAAAGATCAAGGTCAAAAACTATGGTTTTATTTGACAACCTCATGTCCAATGATAAAGATACAAATTTGTTACCACACATTATTCACAGCGGGGCCCACAGAGATGGCTCCCATCTCAATGATATCTAGTTTTTCAGGGGCTCAGTTGAAATTTTATGAGCCCAACCAATTTCAGACTAATACCAAACAAAAAACAAAACTTAAATGTACTTTAATTTTATATACAAATAAAGCCTGTTTGGGTTATCCTATCTGTAGCTTTTGAGTCTGGTACAGATTATGTGTTCACAACTTCATAATATTTAAATTATTGCAACCAGAAATGTATCATACAATTTTACAATACTGATTTTAGGTACATTTCCTACCAAAATTGTCTCTTCAATTTGAACTTCCCGTTGACAATATGGCTGTTTGTGTGGAACATTACATTTTCAAATCCAAGGCATCCTCTAATTGCGTTGATCAAAAATATTATTCAATTACTTTTTGTACAAGATTGGATAGTAAACTAGATATTTTGATTTGTATTTCCGATATTCTTCATTGACGATTTTGTAGTATACTGTCCTGAACATGCATGAAATATTTGCCACTGGACGTTAAGCAACCGACAATTAATCAATCAATTTCACTACTTTTTTTTTATAGCAGCTGTTTATGGGATGTGACATATCTGAATGTTTGTGTTGCTAGGAGAAGTTGGTGTTGATTGCAGATCTTTGAATATTTCTGTTCAATGTATTCAAAAACTATTATTGGAGGATTGGGAGTTTGACGTATTGTATAAACACATGTTCTATTACAGAAGACTGACTGTGTGTTAACCTCTAAAGGCCCTTTAAAGTCTAACCCTCAAGCTCTGAAGTCCATTGAAATAAAGAGGAAATTACTTATTTATCTATTGATAGTTATTTATTTTATTGCTCTGTTGGATCATTGATATAAGACCCCAGAAATTATATACCTTTTTATAATTTACATTGTTTTGGTACATTTGTAGTAACATATAATTAAGGATCCCAAGTTTGACATGTATTCAGTTCTAAAGCTGGCCTGATCAAAACTGTATAAAACGAAACTTTAAATGGAATGGTTCCTGAAGGGTCAACATGAAATTAAACTTTAGTAACTATGATGATCGTAATCATTTAATAAAAAATTTGAAAAAAAACGACAAATACAAAATCAATACAAAAATGTGAAAAAAAACCGACAAATACAAAATTAATACATTACACCGGTTACCTTAATCATGTCTTTTGGACGTCATTTTTATAAATTAAATCGTAAATTTTACTTATTTTTTGCTTGAATTGATAGCTTGTGCTTCTGACAACACTGGCCACATGCATGGAGCACCATAATACTTTGTTGGTTTGTGTATTCCATTCATATAAATATATTTCTAACATTTTTTTTTGTCAAGGGTGAGGTATTTTTCAAAAGGAAATAGACCTTAAAAACTTATCTGAACATCAACTATGGCTAAAAACTACTAACATATAATACGTTAAAAGCTGTCAACACTGTCAAAATCAATAGAAAGAAAAAAAAATATTTTATCTAAATTTGATATGGACCTTAATCATAATTCTTTGGTTTGTGCTGTTTCTCCGTTAAGCAAGTATTAAAGAGTTCGAGCAAAGACTGGTCGGTTCAGATACAAAATCTAATACATTTATTTTTTAGGGTTTTTAAGTATCAAACCTTTGCATTTTTTTTCTTTTATAGGATGTTTTAAATTGAATTCCTTCATCACTGACATGGTTAATAAGTAATGTGTATTCATTTTTTCCTCCACCTACAAAGTTACTGGTTTACTTTATTCGAATATTGTGTTTCGTACTTTTGCAAACTTTTACAGCATTGTTCAGTCCTGTCTGAAGTTGAATTCATTTCGATGTCAAAATGTATTACCATTTCATTCTTGTAGTATATATTATAAACAAAAACAAAAACGAAATGGTATGATGTCGGACATAAAAATACATTTTCTAAATAAAGGTGGTACATGTACCAAACATCTTGACGAAAATTAATTTGGCTCGTTTAATTTTCATAAAATTTTGACAAAATATTTACTTTGACTCTTTGAAAAAAATATAAAAATTACAAAAAACTGGAACCACACACTTTATCGGAAAAATTTTATTGGATAGATAGCAGTTTGACAGACACTAATTTTGATCATTGAGAAGCTTAATATTTCCTTAACAATGAACGTGATTATTTTGATTTTTACAGAGTTATCTACCAGTTGTGTTATGTACCACCTTAAGTTTACTCCGTTTTATTATTTACTTTTCTGAACCCTGAATCTTTGGCATTTTGAAGCACCAAAGTTCGCACATAGTTTAAACATCTATCGGTGTCACATAAGCCTCTTTATATGAAATTAAATCCTTTCCTTCATTAAAACGTCTTCCGAATGCAGCTACATAAGACATTTTGCATAAATGTGGTCCAGGTTTCAATCCATATTGATCAAGGTAGCACTCATATGAACAATTAAAGAAACAAGATATTTGTTCTAAAATAAAAAAAAAAAGGAGAAAACATCATGAATAATATATAAACATATAAAAAAAAAAACATTTCAAAGAAAATATTAATAATAATAATAATAATAATAATAATATTATAATAATAATAAATTATTATAGTTATAATAAATTTGCTCAAAAAGAGGCGAAAGATACCAAATGACGAATAAAAAAAGTTGAAGAGACACCGACACAATAGGCAAAAAACGAAAATGACGAAAAGACACAGTCTATACAAAACACTTCTTTAAAAAAAATGACTGAGCAACACGAACCCCATGAAAAACCAAAGGTACAACGAATATATCGTTATGTTTACTTTTATTTTCATCCAGGAGAGTTTGGAGTAACACATTAGAAAAAAAAATAATTACATGAATTTTCAAATTTAAACTACTCAAAATTTATGAAGTAAATAAATAAAAAAAGGTAAAGCCTATTCCGGACAAGGAATCAGATCTATGTACGGGGGAGATAATGATATTCCTTTAAATGACAAGCCAGATAACACGCCACTTATATGCAACAGCAAACTCTTAAAAAGAGAGGAGAATGATACCAAAGGGACATTCAAACTCATAATTCGAAAATAAACTGACAACGCAATGGCTAAAAAAGAAAAAGACCAACAAACAAACAACTGTAGAAAAACACAACATAGGAAACTAAAGACTGAGCAACACGAACCCCATCAAAAACTGGGGGTGATCTCAGGTGCTCCGGAAGGGTACTAAGCAGATCCTGCTCCGCATGTGGCACCCATCGTGTTGCTCATATTAGTACAAATCCGGTAATAAGTCTAATTCGGTAGGTCACATTCGGGAAAAGGGGACGGGATTGTAGTTACGACATTAAGAACAATTAAGGGATTCCTTCATTAGAACGTGATATAATTTCTACAGACTTTGCTTTTCATGGGTCAAGTAAGTGTACATTTTAACGGTAAAACACTTATTTTAATCCCTTGATTGATTGTTGGTTGTTTAACGTTCAGTGACAAATATGTTTAATGCATGTTCAGGACAAGAACAAATTAAAAACAAATACAATATATATGTTCTGTGATAACGGCCGTTTTGGATGAAGGTCTGGGAAATTTGGACAGCCATTTGAAAATTAAGGTATATTGGATATGGACAGAAACTGAGCCTTGAAACATGCCACCTGCAGACCCCTAAACGAATTGTTGCAAGGGTTCTTAACGTGCAGAGTGAATTCCTTGAACGGTTGAGTTAATTACAAATGTTAGGAATAGCAGTGAACACCGTGTGTAACCTAAAATGTGCAATAGTTGCAACACGTTCCTCTAACAAAATTGTTCCGCGTTTCTCCATGCTATGTGATGTGCACTTTCTGTAACGCGCTAGATCTAGGGTACGAGAATTAACATCAACAGTTTCTCTGGTTTAACCGATCCAACAACAAAGCGTTGATAAAGCAAACATGTCAAAAATTGAATCGGGACCTGAAGGTCTCTTCATTAGTCAGTAATGACTTAACGACATTGATAGATGGTAAAAATGTAAACGTAGGAATAACTTTTGATAAATGGTTTTAAATTCAGTTCGATGCCGTAGTTCGAAATTGTGAGTTATATCAAGCTTTCCGTTTGTTTTCCAATGCAGTGTTGTGACGTTGTCATGAGAAGCACGTGCAATCATGTTTGTTGAATTTTATTGGGAAATAATATCTCATTTTAAAATGCAACGCACTCGTTTTCTGCCAATCAAAATGACGGATTTTTATGAAACATACATGTAATGTAATAACATACAATATAACTGTACGAGATGTCGTCTACATCTTATTGATTCAGAAATAACAGAGAACTGAAGTAAAGTCCCTTGATTTCAAGTGTGCATTTCTAGTACATCTTTAAACATTTTTTGTCAATTCCTAGCAAGTACTTTTGAGACAAAAACCTAATATGGACTACATGTTAAAAAAAAATTAATAAGTTTAAACTTGTTCTTTTTACGGAAATGTTATTTATTCTACGCACCTTTTTTTTCATTCAAAACTACAGCTAGTGCAATCATACATGCACAACAGGCAAGACCACATATCATGTTGCACATTTTGTTTCATGCTGAAAGAAATTTACAAATACTTCAATCAAGATTTAGTGAAAAAAATATTAATTATAATTCCATTAAGCATGTAACGCCAGTTTTGATCGGATGACGTCTGGCGTCGCCAGTAAAACTGTTTTTGCGACCGTAAAATCCCAAATTGATGGTAGCAACTTTTCAAATACAAAACTTTTATCCCTTTAATATAATTTTCTTTTGAATACACTTGATTTCTCACTAGGTCTTCCTAAAATATTCATGTAAGTCACAACGTTATACTACAGGCTGCAATAGAGCTAGATTTGTTTTCTAGTCATTAACGTAAAATCAAACAGCGTCTTAAAGGGGTACCCAACACTTTGAATAACATAAATTTGGCTCGTAATATTTTGAAAAAAATATTTACCTTGACCTGTTGACAAAAATATAAAAATTTCAAGAAATCTATACAAACGTATATCCTATGATGCGCTCTATACAAACGTATGTCCTGGTTATTGCTTCGCTCGCATCACGGCGAGATGCTATTAGTTTCGTACTATATTCACGCCATCTTGAAATTATTATGTAACAAACATAGGTTCTCATTGGTTGCCTTATGATTTTGGAAAGATTCTTTTGGCTAGAATGAGATATAGAATAGGGAACGAACATGTTCCGGACAGGAGAAGATATCAAATACGGAAAATTTAAAGTATGTGTATTCAAGATCTGATTTGACACCCATTTAATGAATAGTTTTGTCCGGGTAGTATATTTTGATTTATTTATAAAGTTGAAGTGATATTGATAAATGCATTCTCAATTTGTATTTGGTTACCAACACTCTGTGAAGCTGTACGTTACATTCGATCTTCGCGCCATCTTGAAATTATTATTGAAAAAATATCGGTTCTGATTGGCTGCATAATGATTTGGCTAAGGTGATATTGGCTAGAATGAGATATAGAATTGGGTAGGCAGAAAGACCTGATCAACAAAAATTGCTAAATGTTGACATAATTTATTATTTAAACTAGTAGTATGGTTGTGAGGCTTGTTTAGGGGGGTATCAATATCCCATATCCCATTAAGTCTTTGTCCCAATATCCCATATCCCTTTAATGTTTACCCCTAATATCCCGATAATTTTTTTTTACAAATCTCCCGTATCCCTAAAACTATTTTGAAATATCCCAAAAAATCATTAATTCATTCCCAAACCCATTTTTGTATACAACATTATACAGTTATTTAATATGTAACTATGCAATAGATCAAAATATATATCCCGAGGTATGAAGATCAGCTCATTGTTCTATTGCCCGAAGCCAACGGCTGAGGGCAATAGAACAATTAGCTGATCTTCATACCGAGGGAAATATATTTTGATCTATTGCACTGTTACACATTCAATAACTGTTTTATTACCTAATACATACTGAGTCAGTTCTAACAAATTCTTAGAAATAAAACACATGAAAGTAACAACTGTATTAATTATAATGTGTAAGGAGCATACATGTACAACCAATACTTTAGAAAAACGAACATGAAATCATTCTCCTTTCTTGTTTCTTACCGATGCGTAGAAATCTTTCAACGTCGAAAACATTTCTTCCTTGGAGAACCTTTCGAAGTCATTGAATAATATGTGCTTTTGGTAACAGTAATCTCTGAGAACATTTACCGACATTTTGATCACATTTTTTGTATTTTTAGCGTCCCTATTCTCAAGTAAATCATTGAAGTCTCCATCATCAACATTTGCAAACCGCTCCATCGCGGAAGTTATTAGCAGACGATCAAAACAATAAACTCAAGAACGTTTAAAAGACCCAATTTGATTGGACAACATGAATACCTTTCAACTAATCAGATTTCAGAATAAGAGGTCATAACAGGTCAGTGCAATAGACTGCACACAGGTGCAATAGAACGATAATTTCCAGTGCAATAGACCATGGAACAAAAAATGGCAGAAAAATAGCAAATAATATAGAAATATTAATAAAACAGTAAAATACTCTTTATTAGGTAATAATCGTAAATACATGTTGTGCGTTGTAGTATGGATGTCAAGGATGTGGACTTTTTCACAGAGAAAAGTTAATCATTCAGAATTATCCAGAGACCTTTAAATTTTAATCTACATATCTCTGGAATAACCAATATATAACTAAGCGTTTGTAACAAATAAAAAGTTACTGTAGAGATAAGCGTGAGCCACCAAATGTGAGCTCATCAAAGGCACGTAGCTAAGAGAATCACCTAATGTGAACTCACAGATGACACGTCGTTTTAATAGAAATGCTAAGAAGCAAAAAGTCCAATTCTACAATAAAAAAAGAACGGAATGAATATAATATGCGGCAAAGAGCTGTACATGAAAAAAAGCATGTAGTTAATCTATTAAAACGCAAATTATCAAATCAGGAATATATCCTGTTGGCGAAAGGCTTGAAATTTATACCAACGTCATCAAGCAAAAATGCAAAAATGTCTATACTTAAAGACTACAGTGAATTTGCTAGACAACTGCGATGTCGATATATGTTCCGTCATGAAGAAAAAAAATTGTAAGGGTCCCGCGGAACCCAGTGTCTCGCCTGCTTTTGCTGTTAATCGCAGGCTCAACAAAAATGAGGAAAAAAAATAATAAAAATATTCCTCTCGATACTATCTTTTGATTGTAAGAAGCTTCTGTCCAAGTCTGGTAAAAATCCAGGATAGTTTATGAATCTAATAAATGTTTTAAAAACTTTAACTGCATACTGTATGTAATGTTAACTGGAAGAAAAACTAAATCCATTTATAAGTAAAATACAGAAAAAACAGGTACAAAATTTTAACAAAATTTCCTTCTAGATACTAGCTTTTGATCATAAACACGCTTCTGTCCAAGTTTGGTACAAATCCAGGATAGTTTAAGAAAGTTATTAAAATTTTAAAAACTTTAAACACAGAGTGAATGTTATATTTCCTGGCAGAAAAACTAAGTCCATTTATAAGTAAAATACGGAAAAAATTGATTTTTTTTCACTAAATTAACTTCTGGATACTATCTTATATTTCCTGGCAGAAAAACTAAGTCCATTTATAAGTAAAATACGGAATTTTTTTTTACTAAATTAACTTCTGGACACTATCTTATGATCATAAACAAGCTTCTGTCCAAGTTTGGTAGAAATCCAGGATAGTTTAAGAAAGTTATTAAAATTTCAAAAACTTTAACCACAGAGTGAATATTTGTGGATGCCGCCGCCGACGACGACGACGCCGACGACGCCGACGACGGAATGTAGGATCGCTATGTCTGGCTTTTTCGACAAAAGTCGAAGGCTCGACAAAAATGACCTTCATCCATTTCATAGCAATACAGGATATAAACCTGCTTCTACGTGCCACACGTCGAAAAATTATATCGATTTAACAAAGCTTGAATTATCTTTTCTAATAAATAAAAAAAAAAACAATCTTACTAAGGGCGAAAGAATAGCAAGTACGCAATTTGAAAAATGATGAAACAATAGTAATAAAAAAGGCAGATAACAATTCAAATTGTGTTATTTCAGACAGACTAGACTACATAACAGAAGTCACAAGACAACTAAATACTCAACATTACTGCCAATTAGATTCATTCAAAGGGGCATTGGTTGTCAAATTCATGTTCATCGATTTGACTCAAATTCTCATTTTTGATTTATAGCATACTAAAACATATATCCAAATTACAAAAAAGTATAAAATAAACAATTTACAAGGCATGGGCTCGATAAAATGTTTCATCGTTTCTTGTGTATTTTAGTCTAGACGCCATCTAATTAACTATCGAATTGACCTCCGAAGACTGCCGACGGTCATATAAGCGATTTATAAACATAAATATAGATATAAATAGATAACAAACTCGTGCAATAGGATTTGTCTAGGTCTGTTTAATTTTATATTATAGGTTAAAAATATAGGGACGATGGATTCATAATATATGATGGAACATCAGACGAAATTGCAAATTCTTATCTCTATCTGCATAGAAATAGCTGTCACTCACAAGATGTATTTCTAGGATTTATTAAAGGTGAAGCAATACGGCAAATTAGAAACACAAATAACCATAACAATTTAATAAACAATCTAACTAATTTCAAAGTGAAATTATTAGATAGGGGTTATGATAACGTCGAAATAGATGATAGTATTACTGATGCTTTATCAATTGACCGTACTGAATTATTACAGCAAAATAAATCGAAGGAAAAAGAAAATATTCTGTTAGTTTTGATAACAAAATATAACCCATATATATATATATACGTAAAATAAAGAAACGGGCATTTATTACAGTTTGACGAATTGAGATTGTGTATAAATATTCAATGCTGCACAAATAGTTGCGTATAGCAAACATAAAAGTGTTGGAGATATGCTTAGTAGATCAAAGTTGAAGACTGTAACATAAAATTGACAGTTGGACCCCTGATGATGGCAGATCTGTCATAATAACTAGCTGACTAGACCTATTGATGAAGAATTAAAATATAATTATATCAATATATACATGAATAATTTTCATATTTGATTATATTAAAATAATGCATCTAAAATTATCATCCCAAGCAAGAGCCTCTAATCCCAAGCTTTAATTGCCGAAACACTAAAATAGTGATCAATAGTACGTGTTGGGTCCTATCATGCAATTTGGGATGCGTGGTTGCATGGGTGTTTTATAATAACAAAACTCAATGAAAATCAACAAAGCACTTAAATAACTTTTTCTAATAAATTTTTTTTGGCAATTTTATCAAGTGAGATGTAAATATTTCTGTACTTAACTTTTAATTTTCACATTTTTTTTTCATTTTTCATTTTCAAAATTCAATATCCCTAAAAATGCACAAATATCCCATATCCCATTTATTTTTAGGACAAATATTCCATATCCCTAAAATTAAAATGGCAAATATCCCGTATCCCAATTTTATTCGCAAGCTTAACTGAATTCAGTAATACTTGTAAATAAGCAATAGGCTTAAGTTGTATATGTTCAACCGTAAATATCCACCAGAAATGTATGTAATTGCACAGAACAAAAGAAGACCAGACAAACTTGAAACTAGGTCAAGTGTATTCGTATCTGTTCACTCGGATATATATATATATATATCTCATACAAACCAGCAAAAATGGTAAACGTGTTTCGAACAGTACGTACTTTTTAATTGTATTGTAAAGCAGGAACATACGCTTGTAAAGATCCGAATAGGTTCAATGTACACTTACGTAAACCTGTTTGTTTTTAATGAGATTAGGTTAAAGTTGTGGTTGCCGGAGACGACAGCTCCTGAAAACACAACATTGGCTCTCGGTAAATAAAAATTACACACACACACACACACACATATATTTTACATATACACATACATACTACATACATACATTACACAAGTATTTTAGTCAATACTTACAAAACAAATCGATTGGAATAAAGAAAAAACGTTCCGTTTGGTGTACCACAATAAGTAACTGGTATACTATGTACATATATTGGTTAAATTGACTTGTTTTGTTCTGCGAAATTCGTGTAATCCTTTACTTCTTTGTATTTATTTTCTAAAAATACAACGTTTACTGATACATAGTATTGTACTTTCTTTACAAAGGGTTTATTATCGAATGCGGATGTTTATATATAAAGCCATAAATCTAAATGGAATAATTTATATTTCGGGCTGTAAACCGAAAGGACCGATATTGATTTTAATACTGTTTTTCATTCATATAATAGAAAGAAACATTTAACAATATGTAATATGTAAAACATTGATTAATAGGTGTTTACTTAACGTCCAGTGGCAAATATTTCATTTTAAGAACGATAAATAACACATGATTGCGTTTGAAAGTACAAGTATTCAGTTAAAAAAAGTAAGAATTAAACTATCACAGTACACATTTGATATACAGACAATTGTAGAATACTGTCGACTATATGTAAATGGATCTGTAAATTGTTAAAAGACATATCGTTGGTAAATATCGAAATACCTTTGACCCACGCTTTGACCACACCCGGCCTTCTGTTTAGAACAAATGCAAATTGACTTTTTTCATCCTGGTACTCGGTCAGGTAAGAGCAATTTGAAGAAGTAAAAATAAACTTACCACATCTTCTTATATCTATTACAATCGGAACAATTGAGGGGGAAATGTACTGTTTTATGTTTTCTATAGTTTAGTTTAAACATATTTATTCATAGTGGATTGGGAAACAAGTTATTACAATTTATATCTTTCCACTTTGCTGGTGCGAGTGCCTACTTGTAGCGGCATTAGACTGCTCTTTTTCGAAATCTACAAGGCCACGGTGTCTTTTACATGCAAGAGATATTACTCTCTCTTAACGTGGGTAGGCCATGAAAAAATAATAAACAAATAACTGAGAAAAATAAAAGAGAACACATTACTAATTTTACATGTCAAACTACTATTGCTTACACAACTACAACTTGTACACAACATATTCAAAAAAGTTAAACGACTAATAAAGCAGTACGTATTAAACACTGATATATTTAAATTGTATACATCCATGTCACTACTAAACTGTCCTGAACATCCATGAACTACTTGTCACTGGACGTTAAGCAACCGATAATCAATCCATCAATTGTTCTACTTTTTCAAGCAGTTGTGTATGGGATATGACATATCTGAATGTTTGCCAGAAGATGTTGGTTTTGATTGTAGATCTTCGAATATTTATGTTCAATGTTTTCAAAAACTATTATTGGAGGATTCAGAGTTAGTGACACATTGTAAAGACAATATAGGCATTCTTTGATAAAGGCATTCTTTTTCTATATATTACAAACAAGAACGAAATACATGTAGCAAGAGTGCTCACGCTGAGATGGCTCGCCTGTACTGCTTTACTAACAATTGATTTGACGTTGAAAGTCTTAAGGATAAAGGTTTTACTACAGGTGTAACAAAATTCAAAGCGCAAATGTCCATAGTGTTTGAAGTGCAAATGTCCTATCGTTGTACAGGTAAAAAAGCGCAAACGTCCTGTGCCAACAATTACACAATGACGGGATGTATAAGTACCGAGCCAAGTCGAATAAATATTGCCATCAAAATTATTTATTTTGTAAAAATATTTCCTTTCTCAATTTGGACTGTTTACCTAACAACAAAATTATTCAGACTATTTGTCCCCATTCAAATGCATTGATCGTCCAAAGATAGGAAATTTCAACCCCCGGAACCCCCCTCTAGATCTGCCACTGACCATCGTGTATACTTTGTGAAGTTGATACTGAATATTTATCAACAAGGTCTTGGTATCTTTCGATGATTTTTTTTTTTAGAAAAAGAACGAAGGGTTCTTTGACATGTCCCTGGTTCAGCAGCTTTCTGCTCAGACACTGGCGACGTTTAATAAGTCGACGCCGCAAACGTTGGATAGAAATTTATATGTGTCACATACTGCGACTTTCGTCGCACCCGAGACAAAAAATGATGAAGGCGTCGGGCAAAACAGAATTTTATAAATCATGTTTTCCGTTTCTTGTTGTTTAATTTTCTGAATACTTATACTTTGGAATTACAAAGCACCGAGTTCCGCACATATTTAAAACATCTATAGGTGCCACATACGACTCTCCAAATTATGGCAAAGCTTTTCCTTCAGAGGAACGTCGTCCGAATGCTGATAAATAAGACAGTTTATAAAAAAAATGGTCCAGTTTCAAATCCAAATTGATCATGGTAGCACACATATGAACAACTAAAGAAACAAGATATTTGTTCTGAAATTAAAAAAAGAATTATAATAATCATAGTGAAAAAAAACATTAACACATTACATTAAGCATTTTGTTTAGTATATCGAATGTATCCAAACTTGTTGGTACCCGAGGACGTTTTTTTTTTTAGAAAATCAACATACCTAGGGTTTAATTTGTTTTTATACCTGTGTTTCAGTGTTCACAAAGTAAAACAAATTTATTCTAAATGTATAAATAATAAAAAAAATGATGATTAATGATGTCTTCATAAAAGAGGCGGGCTATAACAAAATGAGAGTCAAAGTTCAATAATTGAAGAGACACCGACAAAAGAAGGGCAAACATAATTGATTGATGGTCGCTTAACGTCCAGGGGCAAATGTTTCATGCATGTTCCGGACGAGAACATATAAACAAGAAATAAAATAGGTAGTTCCGGTAATAGAGGCCGTCTAGGAGTAAAGTGAATGAACTTGACTGAAATTTAAAAATGAGGGTATATTGGATAGGGATAGAAATTTAGCCATGCTTGATTCCTCCTACTGACCAATCAAAGGCTCTTAACGTGCACATAGTGTATCACTATCTTTACAGGACGCATCGGATTTAACGCCCCTATTCTGAACAGACATGGCTGTGTACTAAAACATTCCGCACAGCCAAAGGGACGCCCCACTTTGTCAAGGATTTTACTGCCTGTCGAAAGTAGACCAAAGTTGGCAAATTTCTATTCTATAGGCACCCTTTGTAGAGCGGTAGAGAGCGGTAAAAACGGAAGAAGACGAAAAGACAAAAGTCTACAAGCACTACAATAAATACTCAGCAACACGAATCTCATCAAAAACTGAAAATGCAACGATTGTGTCGTTATTTTACTTTTATCTTCATTCAGGAGAGAGTTACTGTTTGAGCAACGTATTTAAAAAATATTGAAACGCATATCTTTCTACTTTATTTTATTAATAAATATTTTTTTGCGTAAAATTTAAACTAGTCCTAATGACGGAAATGACATCTACTTTACTCACCTTTGCTATTCCAAACTACAGCTAATGCAAACATACAGACAAGACCACATGTCTTGTGATACATTTTTTTTCATACTAAAAGAAATTTAGAACTAATTAAGATATAGCTTTCTGCTTAATAGATTCTTTTTCTGCCTTAGTTTTGCCTGAATAAAACAATGACTTATAACACTGTTAAATTTGCTTCCAAGTTATCTAATATATAAAATAAAAAATGTATACAGTTATGTATATATTTTAAATTATGATTTGCAGTACCATCGATCAAGGTTATCAAACACCGATGACATAAAATAATTTTGACAGATAATCAGAGATTTATAAAAGAATGTTAGACAGATACCCATAAGCTCAACACCACAACCAATTAAAAACAAAAATTAAATCATCCACATTATAATGATATAAATAAATGTATTTACTGTCTTCTGATTGGTTAAAATTATTACCTTTATTTTCAATGTTGTTAATTTTTATGGCGACACGCCCACTCTGACGTTGTGTATTCATACGCCAACATGTGTGTACGTTGTTATTGTTAATATACATAATATAAAAAGCTCTTTGAGCCTTATTTTTGATAGAAATTTATTTATAATGAATGGCTATTATTTATTTTGAATTTATTGAACCATAAAATGAATTTTTGACTCTTCACATTTTACATAATCCGCTTCGCGGATTATTCAATGTGAAGAGTCAAAAATTAATTTTATGGTTCAATAAATTAAAAATAAACAATAGCCATTCATTAAGTACTCATAATTGTTTTTATACTATACACCTTCAAGATGAAAAATATGAAGAAAAAAAAAAATAGAAAATGACAAGATTGGTTAAAGAAAAGTATAAATATAAAACAGAATATTCGGTATGATTGCCACTGAGACAACTACCAACAAGAGCCAAAAGGATACGGAAATTACAACTATAGGTTACCGAACGGGGTTCAACAATGAGCAAAGCCCATACCGCATAGTCAGTTATAAAAAGCCCAAAAATAATGACAAGTGTAAAACAATTCAAAAGAGAAATCTAACGGACTAATTTATGTACAAAATAATGAATAAAAACAAATATGTTACACTGCAACACACGCCAACCATTTAATTACAGCTCCTGCTTGGGACAGGCACATACAATATTTGGCGGAGTTAAACAAATAAGCGGGATCCCAACTTTCCCCCTAATCCTGGGATTGCTAGTGGTGCAACATAACAAAACAATAAACAAACAGAAAATCATATTCAACAGCAATCACTACAACCACTCCTAACTTGGGACAGGCACACACAGAATGTGACTTGATTAAACATGTTAACGGGCGCATAACCCTCCCCTAACCTGGGACAGTGGTGTAACAGTACAACATAAGAACAAACTATAAAAATCAGTTGAAAACTGAGGTTGAAATAGGATTAACTAAGCAGATGGATACAACTAGAAATAGAAATTCACTTGGAAATATAGCTTACACAATTCAGAAAAACTGACAAAAGTGTTTCCAGTACTTATTTCCGCTTTTAATTGTACTATTGTTAACATAATATAAGCAGGATAATATAGTACTTGTAATAAATTGATGTGTCAATACTTACAAGACAAGTCGATAGGAGTAAATAACCGTTCCGTTTGATGTACCACGATAAGAAACGTGTATGCTATGTATTGGTTAAAATGACTTATTTTGTTCAGCAAAATTCTTTTTTTTCTTTTTTTGCAACGTTTACTGATAAATAGTAATAAACTTTCAAAAAATTATTAATGTTGTTGTTATAATGTAAGCCATAAATTAAAAAGTAAGTTATATGTAGGTCAAAAAACCGGAAGGACGATATGGATTTTGATACATTGTTTTCCCATTCGTATATATAATAAATATATATTCTTACATTGATACCAGTGGATTATCAGATTTATCTAATCGAGAAAGTTAAATTATTAATTTTAAAGTCCGAGCCTTTGATAATTAAACTATCGAGATTGGATAAATCCGATAATCCACGAGTAACTATGTAAGAATCTGTTTCTCTAATGATTAAAACATAAATTTTCTTTTTTTGTTAAACTAAAATCCTCTTCGAGTGCCTTCCACATTCCACAAAGTTGTCAATTTCATTAACACCTGTTAGCATATTTTGATTCATCCAGTGAGCTGATAAAGGTTATGACTCTTAAATTCATCAAATCATCTTCTGAGATCACCGGCAACCACACGTTGGTTAAATTTTTTTATACAATGGGTTCAGAAAGGTATAAATTGCCATAGAATTAGAGAAAGATAAATATCAAAAGCGATGTTATAAATAACACTTGATTCATTGATTTTTGTTTGCTTAACGTACAGTGGCTAATATTTCATGCATGTTCAGAATGATATATGATAGTGTTTGAAAGTACTTGCATTCAGTCTTTTGGAAGATTGGCGAGAGGCCCTGGATAAAAATCATTATTTGGCTGCAGTTCTTATGGACCTCTCAAAGGCTTTTGATTGCCTTCCACATGAAATTTTAATTGATAAATTGCTCTCATATGGTATTAAGCCATATTCAGTCTTTTTACTAAAATCATATTTAACTGGTAGAAAACAGCAAATCAAAATTGGAAGCATTCCTAGCAGTTGGGCTGGCATTCATAAAGGGGTACCGCAAGGCTCTATATTAGGCCCTATCCTTTTAATGTATTTTTAAATGATATTTTTTATTTTATGAAATATGGCTCGCTGTATAATTATGCAGACGACAATACTTTGTCTTTTTCAAGAACTGGTTATGACAATCTTATATCAACCCTAAAACTGGAGTCAAATCAGCCGATAGAACGGTTTAGAATAAATAAAACGCAAGCCAATCCTGACAAGTTTCAAGTGATTGCAGTTGGAAAGAAAACTTTTGACATGAACCCAACAATTGAAGTTCAAAATTCAAAATTAACTTGTGAAAAAATAGTTAAATTGTTGGGTATAGAAATTGACTATCAACTAAAATTTGACATCCATATTGGAAATATCTGTAAAAACGCAGCTAAGCAACTCAGTGTTTTAAAACGCTTAGGACCATATCTTTCTAGGCTAAATAAAATTACTATATTTCATACATTTATTTTAAGCAACTTTAATTTCTGCACTTTTGCATGGCACTTTTGCTCGGAAACTAACACTAAAAAACT